TAAATCAAAACTTAGTTGTACAGAGATATTTGCATGAATAACACGAATACATACGTATGTACATTGAGAAATAAAATTCTAAACAAAGTAACTGATATAAGCTGCTTATTTGTTGACGTGATACGAAAACGAGAAAGGTATTACGGCGAATATGCATGAGAAAAAAAAAAACGTTCCAGGTTTACTAACAAGTCTTTCATTTCATCCAGATCCGAAATAGTTTATAACACAGAACAATTTTTCCAGGTTGTATTGTTTTTAAGTACTTTTCCTGACACATTATAACCCGCCACAAAAAAAAAGTAGGTTCTTGTACTACAATAAGTATAAATTCCCGTCGGAATAATTTATAGGTATAATATTGTAATATTGTAATATAGTTAATACGTAGCATTTTTTTTAAAAAAAAATTCTCATGATCAAAAACGATAATTACTTGTTTGGTTTCATAATCAAATTCCGATTTTTTTTTTTTACCAAAAAAAAAAATTGTTATCAATATTCGTTATTTATTGTTATTGATTATACAATATTATTGTATGAAGTTGGTAATTCATTCATAAATTGTAAAGGAATATAGTAATTGTAGGATATAAATATATATAGGTTGAATGTTTATCTAATAGCTCGTTTGGACAACCGATTTATGTATAAAAAATGCCAAAATCCAAATAATCAATCAAAATAATCAATCCAAATAATCAATCAAAGTAATCAAAAAAAAATTTTTTTTTTGTCAGGTAACGCCGAGAAAAAATTACGTTATCATGAACATAAGGGGTAGGTTCGTGTTCCAGGATTTTTTTTTATTATTATTCAAATATCAATGAATTGATGATATTCGAAACACTTGTATGGAAATGTAATTCTTTTCCAGAAAGAAAGATAAAGAGTTGCATACAGCAGATGCAGAAAATCTTGATTCGTAGTTAGGTTTCACAGCAGCCGAATATACTAGTAGTAGTATTGTAATATAATAATAATAATAAATATTTATTATATAATAAATATTTATTATAAATATATAAATATATATATATATCATATATATTACATACAATATTACAATATTAGTAAATATATATGTAACTGATAATAGATAATAGATAATACATTAGTAATTACAAAAAATAAATAATTAATAATACGGATAATACATAGATATAGATAATAGATGTAAGATAATATAAATAAATAAATAATAAATAAAAGGATGAATGAAAAAAAAAAATGAAAGAATGAATGAATGAGAATAAATGATACAAACGTATAAACGATACATATACATATGAATGATACATATAAATGATACATAAATAAAAATAAATAATCAGTAATAAAGAATCAGTAATAATTAATTAATTAATAATAAGTTACTGTACAATCACAAGATAAAATCAAGAAAAAGGAAAGAAAAAATTAAAAACAGGTGGTAAACAGGTATGCAAGGTAGAAGTTATGCAGTCTTAGTCACACGTATCATACGTATCATATAAAGTATCGTGAAGTATCATGAATCTTGATGCAGGAATGGCTGCAAAGTTTAGCCAGAATTTTTTTATAAAAGAAGGTAACAACCGTAAACAGAGCAATCCTTGTTTATAAAACAGACAAATGTTTATTAGATGTTTATTAAGTCACACACTCAATTCATCCGCCTTCTTCCATTTGCACGTGGTAGATGCAGAAATGTTGATGAGCACAAACCAACGTTATTTGTAATACATCAACAATCATAAAGCATGCGCCCCACCTGGCCCCTGGCATACAGTGTTGAAGAATATCGTATTTACACACCATTGCATACCCGATACAAACATCAACAATCAGTCAATCAATTCTGCCTGATAAATATGATAGTGAATGTGGTACCGATGAACCACTTAGTTAATGTTTAATGATATTTGGTTGATGACAATTAACTTTTTTGTAATACACAGATTTACAACAGTAAAAGAGAACCGTCACACAGAAATCTTGAATCTTGGACCGCCCAACTTTTTTTTTTTTTTTTTTTTTACATCTTTTTGATGTTTTTAACTCTTGTGGTAACAATCTTCGAATATATAATTTTGAATTATAATTTATTAAATTGTAATTTGAATTAATTTGAATTAATTTGAATTACAGGTTACAACATATCCAAATATTCTTCATTGTAAAAGGCGTTAAATTATTGCGTTGATTTCTAACCTTTTATAGTTATGTATGAAAAGAAAATATATTTAAAATAGTTAGAATTTTTTATGCAGTCATGTCGTGAATAGAAAGAAATTTTTGTAAAAGATCGTTAAAAAAAATCGACAATATAAATACTAGTATTAATAAAGCTAGTTCATGTGCTTGAATAGAATGTTTATCACTTAATTTAATTTTTTTACTTTGCATTGAATGAATGAATCGGTATGACTAAAATAATTCGATTTATTCAATGATTCAAATACTTTTAATATGCGTATAATTTTTATATAAATAAATTCTATATAAATAAATTTATATAAATAAATTCTTACATGCTATACTGCTACGTATATATGTATAAGTAACATGCTATAACTATACATGTATACATATACAATACATATTCACTACTGCATTATACATACTCACATACATATGTATATACATACATACGCACGATTCTCAAAAAAACATTAGCATTAGTAAACCGAGAATCAAAATATCACAAAAAGAATTACGTGTAGAAGATAAACAGACATGCTTGTATAAGATATGCAAGATTACGTACTAGATATGACCACGATGTCCGATATATTAACATCTTATTGTTATAACAGTTTCCGTGTAACATTTATTTATAACCAATAATTGATATTTGCATAATCAAAAAAAGACATTCTTTTGAGGATAATCTATGTTGCTAAACAAGAATTTGTCAAGTATTAGTCAAAAATATTGCATACATGATATATACATGATGTAGCATATAGTTATATGCTGTAGTAATTGTTGTTATCGTACAATATAATTATACAATATAATTATTCAATATAATTATATAATATAATTATACAATATAATTAATTACAATATAATTAATTACACAATATAATTAATTATATATATATATATATATATACTCAATTAGCATTATTAGCATTGATTGTCTAAATATATTACTTTTTGATGACCTAATAATTAATATATATATATTCTTTGCCTCTTTATAAATAATTTATTCATGCAACTCATTTGGCCGCACCAAACCTTGCTTTCTAAAAAGGAATGTTCATTTTTTTTTTAACTACTATGGTTAAGTGGCGATTTTTTTTTTTTTGTGATTCTAAATTTTTCTCTTTGATTCATTTATTCATTTATGCTACGTATAGAATTCTTTTCATTATTATTCAATTATTATTCGACTATTATTCAATTATTACTCGATTATTATTCAATTATTACTCGATTATTATTCAATTATTATTCAATTATTATCCGATACTATTCGATTATTAAATGACATCATTTCCTGCCATTAATCAGATTAATCATGCTTGATATAGTATATAGTTTAATGGTTGGTGCACGATACTAATGCCAATGTATGCGTATGTACTCACGTACTCTTATGTACTTACCTAGACACCTATACGTCAATAAATTTTTTTTTTTTTTTTTTTTTGTAATCAAAAATAATATATACTTATTATTAATAATTAATAAATGCGTATTTTTTTCCATTTGTATCTCTGTATTGTCCCGATTATCTGATAAAATAAAATAAAAAAAAAGAAGCAATTCCAGGCATTCATGAACTCAAAATATAAATCTTGATGCAATCTGCAAATTATGTGCTTTTAAACCTTATCATATTTTATGTTTAACGAAATATGAAAAAAAAAACTTTTTTTTATTTTCGTAAATATTTATGCAGTGTTTTTTTTGCGTTAATATGTAGAGATCTGTTAGGTGCAGATTTATTAAACTGTGATATCGGCATGTTTTTTTTTTGTTCTGCAGTGTATTTTTTATGCAATGTATTTTTTTATGCGGTGTATTTTTATGTTGTGTTTTTCTTTTTATGTTGTGTATTTTTTATGCAGTGTACTTTTTTTTGTTTCATCTGTACATAAAAATTGTAATGATTTGCAAGATACACGAATAAAAACAAAATGTAATGTAAAACGAATCTCTGCACGAAACGTATGCTAAGTACGTATTTACATATGCACGTAAATACGTAAGTATGTATTTTACATATCAGATATGTACGGAGGTATGCATATACGCGTGTAGAAACGTTTTTTAGGTTCAGTCGTGTAGCATTTTTTCTCGTGATTCTCCTTGCTGTTAAATGCGAACAATTGACTTGGTAAAAATTGTGTAATTTACTTATCGTTATAACCTTATAACGTTATAATTGTGTGTAATATTAAAAAAAAAAAACAATTCATAAATTAAAAATCATATTAAATAAAAAATCAAATTAAACAAAAAAATCAAATTAAATAAAAAAATCATCTTAAATCAATTGTCAAATAAATATAAACTATATACCGATACATATTTTTAATTTTATGTATTCTAAAATTTATGTTGTGCGTGGGATTTTCACAATTTGCCATTTGTCATTGAATGATCGGCGGAAAATTATGATAGGAAAAACGTATATATCTGATACATTATCATGGTTACATATAATAAAACAAAGAAATAACGAAAAAAAAAATTCGGTAACGCAGGACTTTGCATATCAAAGGCACATACATACCTGATACATACATATATGTACATACATACATAATACGTACCTACAGACATGTAAGTGATTACAAATTTGTATGCATTGATAAAGAATTGGTCTGCCACCTTGACATGTTTTTTATTCTTATTCTTTCTAAATATTGTACCTACGTGAAATGACTTACTTAATGAGTTTAATTTGGTCAAAATGATAATCCGATAACACTATCAAAATTATCTTTAGAATGAAAATCCCTGAATGATTATATTACTTATTCTAATTATATCATTTCCATTTATTCGGCGTTATTATGAAACCCAACTACATCCTCGTGATCATTAAGCGACTTGATAAACTTGTTAAGTTTATCTATTAATTCTTTGTCATCATTATCAATTTGGATTGTGGATGTAGGAATATACCCGCTGCTCATACTTGTAACCTCGTAATTATATTTCGTTATCAGTTCTTGGGATATTGTATTAACTGATGAATTAGGACACGTAATCTAAAATGAAATATATATTTGATTCTTATATGAGATATATTTATTTTTTAATAATATTAATAATATTAATATATTAAATTAATATAATATTATTAATATTATTTCTTTATTTATTTGTTTCATTTAAATTAAAAAAAAAAAAAAAAAATCGGAAAATTATAATACCTCCAATACATTATCTTCCAATTCTTGTATATCCTCAACTCCAAATATTTCGATTGCATTGTCCATCATCCTGTCGAGGTTATCTTGTGTATTACTTGAATTAAACTGGATTGTACCTTCACGTAGTTATCCATAGTTATCGCGTCAAATAATGATTGAAATCGCATTATAATCTTCAATTAATTCTCATCCTATCGCCATGCGTACCTTTCTTTTCAAACATCCAAGATACATTAGACATTGACCCTCTTATAAAAAAAACGCGTACTACATATTAGTAAATTAATGTATTACTTTGAACATGACCCTTTGAATTTATTATATCTTCATACCCGCTTTTAGTGAAAAGACTTTTTACTTCTTTTACCGTTCTATTTTTATTATCTGTCAATGTATCTCTACAAATATATTACGTTAGTTTTTAAAGATAATAAATTGATATCACCAAAACATTTTTAAACAAACCTTTACATTATAAATGCAACTCCACCTGGTCCATAACCTTCGTAAGTTACGTTCTCGACATTATTTCCATCTTTTCCTTGACCAAGAGCCTTTAAAATATCAAAAAATCATTTCATCATTTTATTATATATTAATATCGATATTAAATAAATTGTTATTGACCATTTTGATTTATTGTTATTGACTTCTAAAGCTATGGTAACGTTAAGATGTTTTGTAAAAAATTTCAATTTAATTGATGATATAGGTTTTGAAAACTATAAATGTTAATTGAAATTAATTTCATCAATAGTAGTGAACCTATTTCACCAGCATCTTTAATCTTAAAATAATATACATATTTTGGTATTTGATAAAAAATAGAGGTGACCTAATATATATATATATATATATTCAATCACGATACATCATATCATGTTTAATATTTTTTTTTTTTAGCGGATCAATAACAATCGGTTAAAATGGTCAATATCAATGTTTTTGTCAATTAAATTTTTTTTAAAAAAATTACTCTTTTAAAAGCATTTTCCACGTTATCTTTAGGTAAACACGCTTTTTTTGCTTGAGCTAGTGCCGCGGCCAAGCGAAGATTCATACTAGGATCTGTACTTCCACCAACTTTGAAAAATTATCAAAAATTATGAATATAAAAAAGATAAATAATAATAATAGATATATAATAATAATAAAAATAGATGGATGTCACAAACTTCTTATAGAAAGTTGAATTTCTTTGGTGAGTTTTGCAAATAAGTTACCGCGTTCAATGTCTTTAACTCCTTTAGTATGTTTTATTTTACTCCATTTATTATGTCCCGAAAATCTTTTTTGTCCCGAAAGAACATTATAAAAATCAATAAGGTGTGAACAATTTAAAGCAAAAAGATTATGTAAAGAACGTGAAAGAAGACCATTAGATATCGTTCTGATATTAAGCATTATTTTTTGGCGTTAAAAAAGTTTTAAAACTCTTAATTTTCTTAATTTTGAGTCAATTTATCCTGTTATGTTAATCAACCAATTAAATTTGATAATCTATATATGTCACCTGAATTATTACTGCTCAAACTGAATTTTTCGAAATTTACCCGAAATTAACCCAGCCAAAATTAACTAAATTACAGTATAAATAATTAGATTAGATTACCGCTCAAAAAAAAAAAAAAACTCGAATTCTTTTTAGATCTAGATCTAGATTTTTAATTAAGTTACTTGACTAATTTCAAAAGAACTTATAAATTGGCTTGCTAACGTTAATTAACTAACAGGTTTTTCTAGAAGAATTTGACTCAAGAAAATAGATAATTTATCATATGTATTAATTCTTAACACAACCGAGGGTCTTCTAATTGCTAAATATTTTAAACTAAAAACGTAAAACCCATTCGACTTTTTTTTCGTTTTTAACAAATCGTAAACAGTAAAATAGAGTAATTTAATAACAAATTATAATATTATATTATGATATAACTAAAATGATAATAATATATCTCTTCGAAAATCAATAACACGAAGAAAACACGTCCAAAAATAAATTGTTTGATATTAATTATCATACTTGAATTAACCTTGTATTCATTCCGAATTCCAGATTTTGATTATCTTTTATTTATTTCTTTTTATTTTAATAACTTGTCAGTTATATACTACCTTATAATTCAAGTCGGTATTATACTAATAAACTTGGTCAGTTTAACCGATTAAATTAATACGTAGATTATTTAAAACATTCGAATTAATCGACTATAACAATAAGAATAAATGTATAGATCATATTGATATCTTGCAACCATTTTATGTCTTCGATTAATCAGAATGAACACGTGTAAATTTTTTTTTTCTTTGGTGCAGATAATAATGAGAAAGAGGAATAGGTAAGACAACATGTACTAGTTTTCTTTGTTGGGTTTTTTTCATTGCTGATACGTACGTATTATTAAAAATTTTTTTTTTCTATAATCTTTTGAGTTTATTCCATTTGCAGGCTGTCGTTGGGGTTTCAGATAGGACAAGCTTGTTGGCGGTGATAAAACTGGGGTTAATGCTTTTGAATTCACCAATTCAGTATATATTGGCCAGTTTTTTATAAATTTAGAGGGTGTTGTGAATTAATGAACTTTTGATTTTATTTACAGTATATACAGTAATTTAAGCCAAAAAGATTAAAACAATTGTTTTTTTTTTGTTATTATAATTTTGCAGATATAAATAATTATAATGGTGTTATATCAGGTTTGCTAAAAAAAAAAAAACTTTACACGTAATTTGGAATTAATATATCTATCAAACTATTTTTTTTCGTTAATAAGTATTGAAAAATCAAGCATACTGTAAAGTATATAAATATATTTAGATAGTATTCTTTAACCGGTTTTTTCTAGTAAATTTGCTTACAAATTTTCATGATTTAATCTGTGATTAAGCAATCAAATTATAATTGAATTGTAATTTATATCATAGTGGATTTGAAGTTAAATTGATTATTTAATTTTAAATCTATCTTTTTATAAAAAATTTGTTTTATAACAATTTTATATAACAGTTTTTTTTAAAAGAATTTTTGCAGTATTGAGTATTTTATTAGCATAAATATAACTCTTTTTTTAATGATTTTTTGAACAACAATATTTTTTTTTTTTTTTTTTTTGGTATTAAGGTGACCTTTTTGGTCTTTTGACTTTTATTAATCACTTGTCGGTATTGTGGTTCAATGAA